TGCTGAGCTGACCCTGTCACTACGGACCAGTCTCTCCTAACAGTCCTGACCTGAGGTGGCCCAGTCTCGTGCCAGTGTCACCGGCGATCGCACAAAGTGTGTTTGAATGATGCTTCTTTTTCCATCCTTGTAACTTTGGCTTGTCTTGGTCTTTAGATGGAAAGTGTGTTTTGTAAACTCCTAAGTCAGGTGGGTTGTTTTTTTTTTTTCCTTTTTACTCAATTTCTGGCTTCTAATTGTAGTGTTCCATGCATTTACATTTAATATAATGATTGACACAGTTGGGTTTAAAGCCACTACCTTGTTCTATATTTGTTCTGTTCTTTTTGCCTTCTTTCTTGCCTGCTATTGGACTATTCATATATTTTTAAAATTCCATTTATCTCCTCTATTGTAGTTTTTACATACAGGTTATTATATAACATTATATATAATACATACATTTATACTTACTTAGGGGCTGAGCTAGAAAGTATAGTATACGCCCTTCACTTGCCACAGTTCACTTTGAAATCATACAGCGTTTGATCAACCACCTAAGAACCTCGAAACAGTGAAATAACACTGGCTTGCTTCCTAAACTTTTGTTTCCTTGAGATCATATTTTTTTTATTTCTGAGGGTTGCACTGCCTCATCTGGCAGCCACTAGCCACGTGCGGCTATTTAAACATCAACTTACACCAACTATAACCAAGTACAACTTTAAAGCTCAGCTCCTCAGTCACCCTAGCCACACCGGCAGTGCGCGCAAGCCCCCGGGGACATGGCTCCCGTCCCGAACACATGCTGTGACAGGACAATCCCAGTGCATGGCAGGGAATGAGCACCCACAACACATGACTTTACATTTTGCTTTGAGCATTCATCTGATAATCTTCTAAAGAACTTATTTGAATGTCTTTTAGAGTTTCCCATGCCATCATCTGTTCAGGTGTCCTTCACTCATTAGGGCAGATCTGGGACCCCACTGGGGTCACTTTTCTCCCGCCTGAAGGAGGTCGGTATCTTTCCGAAGGCCAGCTCTTCTGGTGACGATTTTCAGCTTTTATCTGAAAATGCCTTTTATAACAGATGTTAAAAATTAATTACGACCTTAAATTTTGAAGGATATTTTTGTTAGGTATTGGATACTGATCTCAAGGACTGTTTGACCTTTAGCATTTTGCGGATGCCATCTTTTTGTTTCTGGCGCCCACTGCTCGATAAGTCATTCTCAATGAAGTCTCCCTGAATGTAATATGTCTCTTAAATTTTTGTCTTTTAGGGACGTGTGGGTGGTGCAGTTGGTTGAGCATCCAACTCTTGGTTTCGGCTCATGTCATCATCTCAGATTGTGAACTTAGGGTCATGAGATCGAGCCCCACATCAGGCTCCACACTCAGCAGGGAGTCCACTTGGGATTCTCTCTCCCTCTGCCCTTCTGCCCCCTCCCACTCTCCTGCATGCTCTGAAATAAATAAATCTTTAAAAAAATAAATTTTGTCTCCTTTTAGGACTTCTATTTTTACCTTTGGTTTTCAGAAGTCAGACTGTGATATACCTCCAAGTGTTGTCCTTTGAATTTGTCCTCCTTGGGGCTTGCTAAACTTTTTGGATTTGAGGGTCAGTGTAGAATAACACCAGTGTTATTCTTACCAATTTGTAAAATTCTTACACATTCTGTCTTCAAATATTTCTATTGTTCCATTTTCTTTTCCCTTCCTTCTGGACATCCAACTTTACACGCACTGGACCATTTGATCTTGTCCCACAGTTCCTAATATTCCTTTCTGTTATCTTTCTTTCTCATTCTAATTTGTTCTGTGCTTTCAGAGGACTTCTACTGATGGAATTTTGAGTTGAAAAATCCTCTCTTTAGCTGCATCCAGTCTGGTGTTCAGAAAATTAAATGAGCTCTCCATTTCAGGTATTTTGCTTTCTCCTTTACTACTGGTGTGTGGCCCTTACTCCTAGGGTGTGGCCTTTGTGGTGTCTCAGTGCACGGAGACCCAGCACCTCCCAGTCCTACAAGGCCTCCGCCCTCACGTAGCACCTGCAACTAGAAGAGGTTCAAAGAACAGTGTTAGGTTGCTATAATGAAACTTCCTCTACTCCTGTTTACTTATATGTAGGCCATTTATGAAAAATAGGGATAATACTGGTTCTGCGCCCTGCCTCACTCCAGCAATTCACATCACCGGATATGTGAACTAGGTGTTGAGGGGAAAAAAAGCCCTGGACAGGGACGCCTGGGTGGCTCAGTCGGTTAAGCGTCTGCCTTCGGCTCAGGTCACGATCCCAGGGTCCTGGGATCGAGTCCCACATCGGGCTCCTTGCTTGGCAGAGAGCCTACTTCTCCCTCTGCCTGCTCTGCCTGCCGCTCCCCCTACTTGTGCTCTGACAAAAAAAATAAATAAAATCTTAAAAAAAAAAAAAGCCCCAGACATATTAAGAGATAAATCTCCAATATTCTCAACTTCTTAGTCTTTTTTTTTTTTTTAAAGATTTTATTTATTTATTAGAGAGAGAGAGAGAGAGCACATGAGAGGGGGAGGGTCAGAGGGAGAAGCAGACTCCCCGCTGAGCAGGGAGCCCGATGCGGGACTCGATCCTGGGACTCCAGGATCATGACCTGAGCCGAAGGCAGAAGCTTAACCAACTGAGCCACCCAGGCGCCGCTCAACTTTAATCTTAATCAAAACCTGCATATGTTTATATTGCTCTCATCAATTATGTTAACAAAAGTTGTAATACTAATTTAATCCAAGAGAAATGTTTTAACATGACACATTTGCAGGAATTGCAAATTAATGTACGTATCTGTGTATGTTTGTGTCTCCAGGGGTAAATAATAAGCTCATGAATAAATACTCAAGCATAAACACTTATTGTATTTAGGATAAAATTTGTGGGGGAATTTGAATGGAAATGAGTTTGGGAGTAAAGGATTTTTTAAAAAGATTTTTTATTTATTTGAGAGAGTGAGAGAGCAAGAGCGGTGGGGAGGAACAGAGGGAGAGGGACAAGCAGACTCCACACTAAGTGCAGAGCCCGACACAGGGCTGACACAGGGCTGGATCTCATGACCCTGGGACCATGACCTGAGCTGAAACCAAGAGTCTGATGCTTAACCTACTGGGCCACCCAGGCGCCCCAGGAGTAAAGGATTTAATAAAATTAAACTAAAACTAAAAGTTAACTAAGAGACTGTTTATATGTTTATAAAACATAGGCTGGTGGGTTTCAAATCACAATGGCATTCAGGATCCATTTCATACATCTAAGGAACGATGCCATAATTTATTTAAAAAGTCAGTATTTATAATATTTGAGAAATTACATCCACCACAATTATTTAAACATGATGGAAAATTTTGCTATTATCTTGAATGAGGGGTGTTAAAAGATTTCACAAAATTAGTTTATTGGATACTATGCAAAAAGCTTTGAGGACCATGGGTCCAGCTATTTCTTTCTATAGTCTGAATCATTACAAGAGACACAAATGGGTCTCCGTTTTCAATTTTGTTGCACGCGGCAAGGAGGTTGACATTTTTAACAATTAAAATGCTTGAGCAGTTTACTCCTTGCTTGAGCTGCCCCTTGGTTTCCCACTTCCCTAAATGAGAAGCTCTGAAATGTCTTCTGAAATGCTCGTGTTTCTCCTCCCATCATTCATGGGCCTTTGGCCTGGGACACACCAGCCTACCCCTCCTCAGAGCAGGTGCCCTTCTTCTTTGCCCAGAGGTTCCTGCGGTCTCTGGTGCACATCCTTCGGGTGTCAGGTCAGACGTCTCCTCCTCTCCTCACCTCTTGGCCCCAGCACTCTGCCTTTCAGCACCCGCTCTTTGGCTGTCCTGTGTCCTTATTCACATGTATACCGTGGATCCTCTGTAAGCATCTCCTCTCTTCTTCCACCCGTGTCTGGCATAAACTAGATGCTCAGGACACATCTGAAAGAACAAATCTTCGTTAAGAGTCTGCGTGTGTGTCTTCCACATCTCTGCCTTCAGTTTTTTGACATAAAGAGCAGCAGGTTGCCTACCCTGTGAGCATCTTCTGGTGCTGCTTTTCCCCTCCGTCACAAGGGGTCCTGAAGGCTGGCTTCCTTTTGGTCCTCTTTCACGCCTACTGATGGGACATGGCTGCCTGGTTGGCTCACTGCTCCCTGTGCCTGGCATACAGTGGAAGCTTATCCAGCATCTGGAATGGATGGAAGGTCCTGACTCTGATTTGGAGCCCTTCCTGACGGTCTCAGCACTTGGTGAGTTTTCCCCTCAGAGCTGTGTGATCTTTACCATTTCTACTTGCTTAGGGCTTGCCATCATCTAACTTTCATCAAGGTGCCTCGTGTCTACACTACAAGGATGTAATTGAAACACATCGGTGCATGCTACAAGCTCATCCTCTGTATGTCTGCAAATCTGGGTGCCCTGCATGACGGACATCCGGTGCTGGCCAAGACTTGTGAGGAGTTTAAAGGAAGCTTGCGTAAGTTTTGCTAACACCATACAGCACACACTCCAAACACCATTAATACCTTTATCACAGTGAAACTTCTGGAAGCCATTAGAGAGGTCATGTCCTGAATGTGTGCACTAAAGCACAAGGAAGGCAACAACACACTCCACGGCCACCGTCATCAGCGATTTGGAAACACTCGTTATACTTGATCGTATGCTCGTTCTTCCATTCGACTGTATTTTGTTATTTACTTTTTACGAGACTTTAATCTACACCGACTGTGGGGCTCGAACTTACAACCGGGAGGTCAAGAGTCGCGTGCTCTACCAACCAGCCAGCCGGGCACCTTTGCATTTTGTTTTTTAAATACGAGAGGCTCTCCCACTTCACATTCCCATACCTGTCTCAAGACCACCAATACATAAATACTTAATGCAATTTGTTTCTCGGTCTAGGACATTCTGCCAGATTCATGGCTCAAAAAACTCTGTACTGAATTGCGAGCACAGACCGTAAATAAAGTCAGAGTTCCGTCGTGGCGGGGTGGGGTGCCCCAATGCCTCCCGCGGGCGCCCTGAGCGCCTTCTTGCGCCCAGGTGAGATACGTCCTGCAGCCCCCCGCCCCGGCCCCCCGCGCCCCTGCATCCCCGGCCCTCATGCCCCCGGAACCCCTGGCCTCCCGCAATCCCGGGCTCCGCGTCCCCAGCCTCCTGCGCCCCAGCCCCCGCGTCCCAGCACCGCGGAGCTGACTCGGCCGTCGCCGGTCTCCCGCGGACCGCCCGCAGTGGAAGCAGTTTCCAGCTCTGCCCAAAGGCCGTACGGATGCCCGCGCAGGCCACGAGCGCTCCACCCACCCCGTGGCCCGAGCCGCGGCGGCTCCTCGGGGCAGACGTCACGCGCCCCCCGCCCAGCCCGCGACGACCTCGACCCGCCACCGAGCTGCCCCGAAGCTCCGCGCCAGCCACGCTCTACCCCGGGTTTTCCAGGCTGCTGGAAGCCGCGCCTGCGCCGGGCGCCGCGGCCGGACGTGCGGGCGCTCGGCCGGCGTGCCTCGCCATTGGCCGGCCGCCGGTAGCCCCACTGCTGTGCACCGCCCCCATTGGCCAGTACGGCCGTCAGTCAGCGGCGCCCGCCGGCTCGCAGCGCGCCGCGCGTGTCCCGCCCCTCGCCGCCGCTCGTCGCTCGCCGGCCGGCGGCCTCGCGCGGCCCTCAGCTCCG